ACGCAAAGAAAATTAGCATTTTCACGGCGCATTAAACGAGGCCTTGCGCGGACTGCCGGCCGATGCTGAGCCATGTCGACTACCGCGTTCACTTTGGTTTTGAAGAAGCGCGCTCCGGGACTGCAGCTCTACGACTACCGAAAAATTTTCGCCAAGTGTAGGTTCACGCGGCGGCGACGCAGATGGCCCGCTCGCAAGCTCGACGCCGCGCATGCCGCACTTGAAACGCGACCAGCGGCTGTTTGTCGACTTCACAACCGCTTTGGGCGCAGTGAACGCGTTTAAGAGTCTCAACAACGTGACGCTCGCCACGCTGCCTGGCTTTCGGTTCCAGCTCTCATATGCGCCGGAAACGGAGCAAGCGCTGATGGCGCTGCGCAACAAGGGCCGGCAAGCGAAGTCGCTGAAGCGCACCTCGTTGAGCGCGACGCAGAACTTGGCGATGTTCGGCCCCGACTCGTCGGACAGCGAGCATGACACGGCCGTGTCGCGGCCCGCGGACCCGCGCGACGCCGCACTGCCGGCGTCGGACGCCGAGAAGACCGCGGGCGTGTGGCTCGACCAGTTCCGGTTGCGGTGCGATGGCGCGAGCGGCGCAGCGATCGTCCACGACGCGTCGACGGATTTTCTATGGGAGCGTACAGGAGCGCAGGCGGAGGCCTGCGCGCAGCTCGCCCGAGTTCTGTGGCAAATTTTGCCGCCCAAGCAAATTTAACAAACACACTCGAACGGAAACGGGAAACATGCTGTTGAGCTTGACTGTTGCGCTGCAGCTCTGCTTTGCAGTCATCCCGCTCGGCCTGATCACGACGCTCTGCGAGCGTGACAACCCCTGCATCGACGAGGCGAAGTGCAGCATTGACCCGCACGCGCCGATCATTGGGAAACCGATTTGCCAGTGCCCACCCGGTAGGTTTGCGCCGCGCATTTTTAGGATTGGAGGGCGACGGACGCAAGGACGGCACGGGCTGCCGCGACATCGACGAGTGCCTGCATGGCACGCACACATGTCGCGCCGAGTCGGAGATCTGCATCAACACTCGCGGCTCGTTCAGGTGCGAGTGCAAAAACGGTTTTTCGTACTCCTCTGATACCGATCACTGCGAAGACATCAACGAATGTTTGAGTGCGAAGCCGTGCGGCAACGCAGATGCGATCTGTCACAACCTGACGGGCTCGTTCATTTGCTCCTGCAACGACAAAACCAAGATTTTTGAACAGGGCCTCTGTCGGCTCCGCAACTACTGCACCGACTTGGAAGCGAAAGATAACCCATGCGACAAGAAGAACGGCCTTTGCGTGAACCGCTTCGACCGCGCGCAGTGCCTCTGCCGGCTGGGCTTCGAACTTGCGCCGGACAACTTGACGTGTGTGGACATCGATGAGTGCAAAGGCGCGCACGGCTGTCCGGCGATGTCGAAGTGCGTCAACACGATCGGTAGTTACCACTGCGCGTGCAACGAATCGGAAGGCTGGGAGAACGCCGACGACTTCACTTGCAGGAACCTTAACGAGTGCGAGAAGTACCCAGACGTGTGCCCAGCGGGCAGCGACTGCTGCATGGACTTGCCGCCGCCGAAGAAGTACCTCTGCACGCCGCTGATCAACACGGCACCGGAGCGCGACGCAACGGGCTCTTTGTCGGAGACGTTCCGCGACACGACCGGCTGGTTCGGCGCGGCGCGCAACAACTTCACGAAGCGGCTCGGCTCGCTGCCTTCGGTGCACCAACTGAGCAGCTTCCGGCAGAACAACCAGCGGCGGCTCGACGGGCTGCCGGACAAGCTGATTATGCGCTCTGCGGAAGCGATTAACCACGTGGTGCCAATCATCGCGGGCGCTGACGCGGGATTTGTGTGTCCGCGAAACTTTGCGGACGTGCGCGAGAGCAAGCGGCAGGGCGCGCTGAAGCAGATTCCGGAGGCGTCGCTGAAGCTGCTGAACGAGCTGAAAACTTTGGCGCCGCTGCGCTTAAACGACTTGCAAAACATCAACCCGACCGCTTTGTCGGACGGCGTGAATGCGAACATGAAGGACCTGGTGCAGACGCTCTCGGGTTTCACGAAGCTGATCTCGTCGGTGCCGGAGAACCTGGAAAATGCGACGGGCGAGCTCGCGGGGAACCTGAACATCGCGGGGAACATCAACGGGTTTTTGAACATGGTGAACCACTTGACGTCGCCGATCACGACGTTGTTGTCGCTGGCGCCGGGCGGCGCGTAGACGTCGCGTGCGCGCCGGCGGCGCGCAAAACTGTGCAGTTAAATGGTTAATTTCGCCTTGAGGAAGTTCACGTCGCGCGCGTTCTTGCCCTTGACGCCGATTGCGATGAACTTCATGACCTTGACGGTCGCTTCCTTGCAGAAGTTCTTGAGCTCGTCGCGCGGGATGACGCTGCGGTCGCCGAGCAGTGCCTTAAAGTCGAAGTGGTTGCTGACAACGTAGCGCGAGGGCATGAGGTGTTTGTAGTTGATCTGTTTGATGGCAATCTTGGGCGTCGCGTTTGCCTCCTGCTTCTGCGGGCTCATGGCGCGCGTGACTTTGCGCGGCGGGCGGTCGATGACGAGACAGAGCGCGTGTGGGTAGGGTTTGGAGCGGCTGCCGTTGTCGCAGTTGGAGAGCAAGATGCACTTCTTGCCGGCGCGGCGGCCGGCGAGAATGATGCAGACTTTGCCGTTCTTGAAGATGCGGTGGGCTGCGGCCGATTTCTCCTCCATGATGACAGACGCGTGGAAATTAATTAATTAGTTGTTGTGTCTATTTAGACGGCGAGCGTGAAGCAGTTCGGGTTCGTCTGCAGTTGTCTCGCGAGTTTGCGCTCGCGTGGGCTGCTGCGGTAGAAGTCGGGATAGATCTTGGAGATAATCTTGCGGTGCACGTTGGTGTGCTTGACCCACTCGGTGATGACGGTTTTGACGAGCGTGAAGCCGAAGGCGCTTTTCACGTTGGACTTTAGCCCGGAGAGCTTGCGGGTCAGTGGCCCATGCTGCTCGGCGAACTTGACTGGCGCCTGCAGCACCTGCGCGAGCGCTGTGGCGGAACTGTTCTTCAGGTAGAGTCGCGTGGTCTGGCCGGCGAAGCGCGCTTTCTCGCCTTCTTTGAACTTGACGGGCGCGACGGTTTTCCAAAGGTTTATAACGGAGGCCTCGTGGCGCTCTATGAAGAAGTCGACGATTTTCACGGTGTGGCAGCGGCAGAGGATGAAGAGGATGTTCGAGTTGAGCATGTCGCCGAGCGACCAGAAGCTAGCCATGAGCGTGCGCCAGGCGAGCGCGTTGCCGAGCGAAAGCCGCGCGAGGACTTCCATGTTGGTCACCACGAAAAGCGGGAAAAGCGTGACAAGCGAGAAGCACTTTGCGGCGATGCTGGTCGCGATGTCCACGTTCAGCCCCTTTTGTTTGAGGTCGTAACCGAGACGCTTGCGCGTGGTGCGTTTGATGTAGCGGCTGGAGTAGTAGTAGAGTTCGTCTTCGACGACGGTCACCAGTGCATGGTATCCGTAGCCGTCGAAGACCTTCGGCATGCGCCGCTGGCGCAGACTGCAGAACAAGTCCTTGCGTTTCTGGATTGGCCGCCACAGCAGGTTGCTCACGAGGTACGTGCCGCACCGAACTTTAGAGTCTTCGTAGGGCGTGCGCGGCCAGTCGATGCGGATGTTCGTGAACGGCATGAATTTAAAATAGCGAATTGTTCGCGGTTGTGGCTCACATTGTTTACACAAATGCACGCGAAAATATTTTGGATTATTAAGCGAGGTCGGATGCGTCATGCAGGAACTGGACGCGTACGAACGACAGGCTGTGCCGTTTTACTTCATAGTGCATATTGGGTGCATTTATAGCAACGAGACGCGGTTGGGAGAAGTGCAGACGCTGCCGGCAGCCTGTCAGCGAGAGTTGGCTGCGCTGCAGGCCTGTCACTGGTTGAGGGACGTGGTCGACTTGGACAGCAACAAGATGCAGGACAGGACCGTGCAGCGCTTTTTCGAGTTAGGCATCTCGGCCTACGTTGACTACCTGGAGGTCCGAGCGCAGTACGAAGCTCTCAGCCGCGCGCCGTTTGAGTCGCTCACGCTGAGCGCGGAGGAGAGCCTCTTCGACGTCGCTGTGCAACTGCTCGCGTCGCCGTTTTTCTGTCTCTTCGCGACCGACGCACAGACGAGCCTCGCAGCCTTGATGTCTTCCGACCCGATTATCGACTTGGCGGGCGACGCGCTAGACCGGCTCGACGCGACAATGCGGCACTTAGTAAACTGCGAGGCGCGACGCGTGCGGCTGTTGGAGGCTGTGGAAGGTTTCGCGAAGTTTTTCTCTGCGTACGGACACCGGCTGTTGGCTTCGACGAAGGGCCGCGCGCCCGAGCGCAGCGCGCTGAATAAGCTGACGGTCCCGATCAATCGGCGCACTCTCGAAGCCGCCGCGGAACGCAACCTGCCTTCGCAGTACCTGCACGGCGCGTTCGCGCTTTTGCGGCTGGCGGCGAGCCAGGCGGACGCCAGCCACAAGGGCTTCGGCGAGCTCTGCCGCATGGTTCGCTACTGCGCTCCCGGTGCGACCGTGCGCGCCTTCGGAAACCTCAACATTGAGTTGTTCAGCCTAATCTGTGGGCGCGCAGTCAGCTGCGCCAACCTGGCGGCGCAGTCGTTTAATGCGCCGCTGACGGCGGAGGACGGCTTCGGCACCGTCGAGCTCAACTTCAAACAATTCGAGTCGCTCTCGTACCTGTGCGACTACGTGCAGCTCCTCGGCAGGCTGCGCGACGCGAACGAGCTGCGAGTGGCGAAATTTCGGCGCGAGCAGCGCAGCTGCGCTTCGCCGGTGCCCGGCGCGGAGAGCGCGACGCAGTACGGTGAAACCAAAGCGGACTTTTTGAAAGAACAGGCCTTCCAGATCGCGGACTGGAGCGTGTACGATTACTTTAAAATGTTCGTGCAGTACTACGTGGAGACGGGGTTCGATGCGTGCGGGTTGTGCTTGAACCACTGCGTGCTGCCGCCTCCAATGGTGAAAGCGTTGTTTACGACGTACAACGTGTATCACCAGGCTCGCGCGCAGTCGTTAGGCTTAGTCAAGACCTTGTGCGTGCGGCGCGACCGGCTCATCGAGGACACGCTGGAGCAGCTGCAAGCAGGCAGCTGGTCGCTGCGCAACCCGTCAGGCGTGTTTGCGGTGCGTGGGCCGCTTGTCATCCAGTTCGCGGGCGAAGAAGCGTACGACGCGGGCGGTCCCCGGCGCGAGTTCTTTCTGCAGCTCTCGCAGCAGCTGTTCAGCGCAAAAAGCAAGCTGTTCACGGCCTGCAACAATGACACGCTCTATTGGTTCACGCGCGTCGAGCCGGAGAACCGCCAGGAGCTAGAGTTAATCGGGTTCATCGCCGGACTCGCGTTGAACAACGGAGTGACGCTGGACTTGCGCTTCCCGCGCTGTCTGTTCAACAAGCTGCTGTGCAACAACCAGCGCTACATGCGAAAACTAGCGCAGAGCGACCCGAACTGGAGCGCGAAGCCCGTCCGCGGCGACGCGGCGGACAGCCACTTTGCGAAAAGCTTTTTGGTCAGCTCGATGCTCGAGAACTTGTCGCTAAAGGACTCGTATGACAGCATGGCGCCCGCTTTGCTGAGCCTAACCATTCTCGACTTGGTTCGCTACTCCGGCACGGTGCTGCCAGACTACGAGCCGAACTTCGCGGACCTCGAAAGCCTCGAACCCGCTCTCGCGGCCAATTTGCTGAAAGTGCAGCTGCTCGCCTGCTCGACGGACTTATCGACGCTGGGGCTCAACTTCAGCGTCACCGTTGAGCGCGGCGGCGCGTTCGTCACAGAGCCGCTGCGCGACAAGCAGCACGAACCGTACGACCCAGACCTGCTGATGACGAACGAGAACGTTGCGGAGTACGTGGACGCCATCCTGCAGTTCTACCTCGTCGACGCAGTCGAGGAAGAGTTCGGCGCGTTCTACGCCGGCTTCCACCGCGCGTGCGCCGGCCCGCTGCTACGCAAGCTCTCGGGCCGCACGTTGCAGCTCCTGTTGACCGGCGACGAGGAAGAGCTCGACTTGTCGCAGCTGCGCACGAGTTGCCGCTACGAAGACGGCTATACCGCGGATAGCGAGCAAGTGCACTGGTTCTGGGAAACTGTCGAGTCGCTCTCGCGCGAGGAGCGCAAGCAGCTGCTTTCCTTCGTGACCGGCTCTGAAAAGCTGCCGATTGGCGGCGCGAAGTCGGTGCAACTGACCATCAGCGGCAACGGTGCGAGCACCGAGTTGCTGCCGCAGAGCCAGACCTGCTCCCTTTACCTGGTGCTGCCGAAGTACGAGTCGCGGGAAAAATTGGAGCGAAAACTGAAAATTGCTCTGCAGCACAGCAAAGGCTTTGGTCTATACTAGGCGCGTCGCGCGTGGTCGCGGCGCAGTGCCCCGGCGTTTGCCCCAGCAAGCAATTATTTATTCTGTAAAACTATTTAGCCAACCCGATCAATGATCGCCGCGCTGATCTGCAGCGCGAGCCTGTAGTGCTTTCCGTCGCCCGACTGACATGGATATCACAAACGCGTTTTTAGCGCGGTTGGAGCAGCGCGGAGCCGTGACGCGCGTCGCTCACACGGAACCAGCGTCCGGCAGCCAGGACGTCTGCGGCGAGTGCATCGAATTCATCAACCAGAGGCAAGCAGCCCTTGACCGGAAACTGAAAATTTTGCACCGGCTCCTGCTCTCGCAGCTTGCGATCTCGCGCAACCGCGCGGAGATCAGTCAACTCACGCAAGACGTCCGGCTTTGCATCTCCGCGTTGCAGCAGAAGATGAAGGAGTTCGAGGACGCGCTGGAATTCCAGGAGAACACTGAGACGAAGGCACACCTGACGTACATCCTCAAAGGCTACCAGCAGCGCGTGAGCGAGTGCACAATCGACTTCACGAACAAGCTGTCGGAGTACAAGACTATGATCGAGCAGCTCGAGTCGCGCCGCCAACAGTTCGGCCGCAAGCAGCACTTAATGCTCGAAGAAGAAAATGCTGCGAACGTGACGCTCGTGGACGACTCGCCGAGCGGCAAGATGCTTGCGCGGCGCGCACAGTCTGTGCAGGTCGTGCGCGCGAAGGACGAGAAGCAGCAGATGCTCGATCAGATCCAAAGCGCGATAACCGACGTGTCCACGATGTTCAC